CCGGAGAATCAAAATGGTAGACGAAGATGTGAGGGCTTCAACCCTGCCCAGCTGTGAAGAACTCCATGGAAGACAGCGCAGGATCACTGTGTAAATTCACATGTGGCAGAGAGAAAAAATCTAAAATCCTGTTTTCTCGATAACAAACGCGAACTACTCCACAAAGCTCAGGCCCTTAAGGAGCTCTTTGAATTTCTGATCTAATGAAATCATTTCATTGAAATGCGCACTCATGTTCACCACGAGACAGCCGATTTGCTGAGTCAGCACATCGGATGTGCTTTGTTCTCCGCACGAATGATGAGCCCCCGAATCTCCAGAAAAGGAGTCCTTACCAAGGACAGTGTCGTTAGATGCTCTCATGCATCATCGCAAGTTACGTATTGCGGCCGAGAAAGTTCGTGCCCTGATGCAATCACGATTGGCCCGGAAATTACTGACATCAAACTGCTGTCTCCATCAGTGAAATCGCCTCCCCTGATCACAAAATTGAAGGCTTATAAAAAAATCACACAAACTGGAATCTCTATTTGCAGCCCATCGTTGAAGTTCAGCGGCTGAACCTAGTTCCTTGTTTGGTGATATGATGTACTCATGATAAACTCAAAAATCTCAATTTGAATCCTAATCCGCGGACACATAGGGCTCAATAGCCAAATAGTAATCTCTCAGTGAAACGAATGATTCGCGGCGAGTAGCATCCTTCCAAATATTGTATGTAGAACTATGACACGAGAATAGCGAACCCAACTGAAGGTCTTCCCACGGAGCTGTCATAAAATGACCAACGATGATAGAGGGCATTCGGCCGTAGACCGTCGAGTCAAAAGAAGACCACAAAATAAGGGAAGTTTCCTTATTTTACCTCAGGAAATTGCCTATGGATACCGCGATCGAGCAACGTACGAACGGGGAAACTCCAGTCATTCTCTTTGCTCTCGGCGATAATGACTAGAGTCTAGTCACTAGACATATATCATTGTGATCCACGGCATGGTTCATGAATGTCATCGTAAATGGGGTTAAGCCCTGAGGGCATAAGGCAAACATCAACAGTGGCAACTGGCTCATGTATTGGTAAGGGAGGGACCATGTCTCATCTTTTGAATCGAATTTGAAATCGACATGCTTATCCGCAGCCTTGTCAGTTTGAGCTCCAATATCTTCGATAAGACGATCATAGTACGATTCTGGGACATATAGATAGTTGCCGAGGTCTAAGTTCATATTGATACCATAAGTCATAATTCCATCACGGACTCGTAGCTTGTCAATATTCATCCTGTAACCTTTGCCCGTAGAGAAGTCAACATACTTCAGTGCTTCCTCATATAATGCAGGATCGCCTCCACCCAGGAGTGGCCCACCATCAGTGGTTGCCCCCGTGGGATTAGTTGGAGGGTACAAGTGGAGAGCAATGATATCGGCCATTTTAGTTTTCGATGATCGCAACTGCGTTATCAGAGACGGGAAGTTCACAATGGCCTTCATAATGGCCAAGACCCATCAAATTGATTGGAGGAGCTCTAATGACAGGAGGCTTCTGGTTGAATATCAGTTCGAAGGTGAGGATCTGCGACACCTGACCGATCGTCAATTTCGATTTGTACTAAAAATGTTCATCGTGTATTCGTCTCCGAAATCAACAGAGGCTCCGAACATTCGTAACACCCCATGGGCGCTGCACTGCAGGAGTGACCAGAGGATTCCTCGTACCAAGCCTTCCAGGTGAGAGCAAAGCCATACGATCCGGTGTCAACGAGATCATCTAGGTCCTGGGCATTCTCACCGACCAGAGAATAGAC